GCACTGTACCGATCCAAAGCCAGGAGCTAGGAACCTCCCCCAGGTCTCCCACACAGGTGAAGGATCCCAAAGCTTTGGGCCGTACTCGACTGCTTTCCCAGGCCACAAGCAGGGAGCTAGATGGGAAGTGGAGCTGTCAGGACTAGAATCGGCGCCCGTATGAGATCCTGATGTGTTCAAGGCGAGGACTTTAGCTGCTAGGCCACGCCACCAGGTCCATTAACAAAAATCTTAACCCCTAGGCTGAACATGAACCCCTAGGATTTGAATTATGTGTCTATACTAAGGAAAGGCCCCAAGATTGAAAAAATAATAATTAGTATTTACTTCCTTCTTTTAGAAAAATTACTGAAATTTGAACAAAAATTTTCATTCAAAATTAATGACTGAATTAAACCTTTCTTTTTAGAATCACTAAATAAAGATTGTAATCTTTGAGATATTGATAAACTTTTTCAAATGTTAGACTTTAAGTTAGTTAATGTAACTATGGTATGCCTTTATCATAGCAATATAATTTGAATTCTGGAAGTTAATGACTTACTTTGATGAGTTGCTGGGATTAAAATGATTGCAAAGTTTTCAAACCCTCTAACTGGAGCAAATTTTGACATTTTAAATGAATGGAATAGATGGGCAAAGCAGAAAATTAACTTTTTCTTTTGGAAACTTCACATATTCACTGTAAATGATTATAAACAAATGCCCAATCATTTTGTATATTATCAGATTATAGTAAATATTGCCTGGTGGTTCTTTTTTCTTTTTTTTAACAAAACCAGTAGTTGAAAATTATGGTTTTAATATTAAATTCAAAGGTGTCATTATATTTGCAGATTATAATATTTTAAGTTACATGTTGATCCATGAATGATTAGTCATATATTTCGTAGTTTTTGATTTCTGTTCATGTTTGTATATTATTTGAACTAATAAGAAATCTCTACTCAGTAGAACTGTTGCTGAAAGGATAAGTAGTGTGGTTTTTCATTTACAGATGAAATGGTGAGGCTCAGATAGGTACAGTAACATGTCCAACCGCACACTAACCACCTGGTAGAAATGTCATTTGGCCATTTCTCTCTGTCTGTGGTATTATCAGGTTGGTATTCAACTATTCCCTGAGGACCACCTGAAAAAAATACTGCTCAGGGGTTCTCAAAATGTTCATGGTAAATGCATGTTATGAAAAAAATACAAAGATTTCAGCAGGGTTTTTTTCTTTTTTTGCACCTAAATAAACATTTTTAAATTCAGATTTTCCATGGTCTTCTGAAGTCACTTCATGTTATTTTAGCATTAACAAAATTTAAATATACTATTACAGAGGGGAGGCATTTGGCCTAATGGTTAATTTCCGGTTAAGATGCATCTGTTGTCAGTGCCTAAGTTCAGTTCTCAGCTTTGGCTCTGGCCTCCAGCTTCCTGCCAGTGTCGATCCTGGGAAGTAGCAAACTGCTGGCTCAAGTTTTTGGATTGCGCCCCTCATATGGGAGAAGTGGGTTGAGTTCTCGGACCCTGTTTCCGAGCTGAGCCAGTGCTGGCTGGTGGCAGGCATGTGGGGTGTGAAGCAGTGAATCCGTGCCCTGTCAGGCACTGTGTCTGTCTCCTCTGTCTGTGCCTTTAATCGATTAAAAAAACAATCATACCAACCTCATTGAACCCCCTGAGTGGTAGAATCATACTTTGCTGTTTCAGTTTTCACTGGGGCAACCCATCTTAATAGATTGTCTCATTTGAAGACTGCAGTATACATCTTGTGAAGACATTAAATGAGTTTTTGAAATACATACCTGCTGGCAGTCACATTATAGACAATGTTTACTGCTTTTCCACTTGAGAAAATCTTGTTCTTTAAAAAAAAAAGAATTATTTGAAATCATTAGTGTTAGAGATTATGCAAGTAATCGCTTGTGACATACAGTTGTGGTTTAAAGTTGCATCTTTTACATTACTTTCAAGCAAAATAAATTTGGATAGTTTCTAAATGAATCGAATTTTTTCTTAGATGAAGAACAACAACCAACCTGGTAACTGCGTTTAAAACTATGAGAATAGGGTGGCAGAAGGGGAAGAGAGGAAGGAGCCTTTTGATAAAGGACATGCTGCCAATATTCAGAACAGGAAAATAAATAATGTTCAGCAGTGCAGCCAACTCTTCTCCTAGGAAGGTACATTATTATTATTATTATTGTTGTTATTATTCCAACTGGCTGAGGTCTCCTCGTGTTGCTAGGGCTTCCTGGAAGTGTGCTGCACAACTAGTTGCCTAGCCTTTTGGCTAAAAGAGTAGAAATAGAGGGTTTGGTTGCAGGTAGCTTTGGACACTGGTAAATCTCTTTATAATTTACCTTTTTATATAAGTTTTAAAATAGAGTATTTCTGCTGCTTATTTGCATTTAAGATGAATATTTTCAGCTTTCTCAACCTTTGTTTTAAATATCTACGAAGTCATTTATTTATTGCAGTCTCTGAAGAGTGGATAAAATTGCTGAAATATTTATCAGAGTGTTGTGGGGATCGGGAGGTGTGTCTAGTAGTCATGGATAACAAACAGAATAATTAAAACCAATGTGAGAAAAAAATATTAAAATACATAGGAAGTTAATCTGGGTTTTGGTTCATGTATCCTGAAATGCTGATAGAAATCTTGTGCTTTGACAACTTTTATGTTTCCTTGAAAGAAGTGATGTCAGGTACACAGCTTACGTTAATAGAGAAAACCATTTAGGGATGCAGTTTTCTAGCAGTTGTCAATTCTGCTTGTCACATGGTCCTAAGCATTCAGTGACAAGTGAAAACCAGAGACAAGTTACTCTTGTCTTTGCCCTGCAATACCAGGTTGAAGATATGTCGTCATTATATGTACTTACATAAGATGTTGGTCACAGTTACAAGGCATTTCACTTGTGGGATTAATAGTTCTTACTTCTCTATAAGACTGTTTCTTTTTGAGTTTCAATGGTTAAAATTCAGGCAGCCCCTTTGTCTCATTCCTGTGCTTCTACCAAATACTGTGGCACTGCATTAAGTAGTAAATTGAGTAAGCGAATATGTTGCCTGTTTTCTTGCTGAATTGCTCCCAACTTTTTAGGGTTTTACTGCTACAAAATGGTAAGGCAGATAAAAAAGTTTTTCTGAAATATTTTACCCTCAGCTAGGCAATCAGATGCCAATGAAATTTACTGTGTGGCACAGTTGCATATGTTAGTGCACCAAAAACTTGTAAACCTTCGATAATAATCATGAAACAGTATGCACTGTGTTTTTTCCCTTCAGATATAAATTTCCATTAGGATGTAGTAAGCTGGAAAAACACCTGTTACGTAAGGACTGGGAGGAGTAGAGAGAGTGGTACAGAATAGCTTTGTAGCTTCTTGGCATTTTAGACTCTAGTAAACTTAAGCTAAGGTCCATTCGAAAAAGTGTGGGTAACCAAAGAGATGTTATAGGATTTTATGATTAAAGAGACATTTTTCATTTTAGTGGAAGAGTAATATTACCACATGAGCGCATGCTCAGCGTCTGAACTGGCTACTTTGTCATTTTGAAAAGTCACATATACACATCTCAGATACAATCTAAACTGTTTTCCTTCTTGAAAAACAGAGAACAGGTAAGTGGCTTCCTAATGCCACAATGTTTCTCAACGGGGAGGTGGCATCTGGAGGCATGTTTGGTTGTCTCAGCTTGAGCAGTGCTGCCTGTGTCTGGTGTGTTGAGGCCTGGGGTGCTGCTCAGTACCCTCCAGTGCATGGGACAGCCCCACAAAGGAGACTCCTCCAGCCCTGAGTGCTGGCAGAAATGAGGCTGAAAACTCAGCAGTAGGGGGCAGGCTACCAACCAGTCACAAACTCACCTTATTTCTTCCCAGACTCATAAAAATCACATTGCCAACTAAACTGCACTAATAAATAAACAAACAAACAAGTAAATAAATAAATAAATAAATAAAATCACAGACAGCTTTACTGAGTTTTGGTCAAGAAAAAAGTCTGATAAAGAGATATTTGAGCAGGGGCCTGAAAAAGTGAAAGATACTCATCTGCATAACTGGGGAAGACTTTCCGGGAAAGAACCAATGCAGTGTGACCCTAATGAGAGAGTTTGCTGGACACATTTGAGAAATAGCCAGGTTAATGTGATGGGCTCTGAGTGAACAGGAAGGAGGTGTAGATAAGGTTAGAATGCTCTGATCCTTGCCTCCCTCTTTTTAATTCTCTTTTGTATCTTTTTTTTTTTTTTACATGTTTTTGTGTTGCTTTTCTTAGTCCCTGTGTAACAAGACTGCATTTTACTATGGACGTTTGAAGAGTTCTGTTTTTATTCTATAGTTAATGTATCCTTGTATTCTGTATTTTTGTTTTATTTCCTTTTAGTACTCTTTCTGTCATGAAATATGCACATATGGAAGATTGCACAAAAATTGTAAAAAGATGCATGCATTTGGCTTAGCAGTTAGGGTGCTGGTTAAAGTGCTTGTATGCCATATCATTTGATTCCCAATCTGGCTTCTGTCAACATGGACCCTGGAACATATTGGTGATGGCTCAAGTGGTTGGATCCCTGCCTCCCCTGTGGGAAACAGAATTGAATTCTCTGCCTTTGACCCAGCCTAGTTCCAGCTCGAAGAGACGTTTGGGGAGTGAACCAGCAGATGCCTCTAATTCAACTTCTTGAATAGAAAAAATTGAAAACTGGATACTTCAGTGAATTTCCCAATGCTTCTTTTTTCTTTTAGAAATATTTGACTTATTTTTTAAAATAGATATAAGTAAATGTCATTAATGTAAATGTTGCTATAAATACTTAGTCTTTCATCTGATGTAAAGCAGTTTATCCATTCTCCTGGCTAACACATTGTTTTAAATTTGGATCTGTTAGAAATCATGCCACCCATAAGCAGCATTGTTTGTTTCTTGTACATGTGTTTTGGTTATTAGAACTCAAAGCAACTCTTCAAATAGTTTTTAAGACTTTCTCTTTCTTTGTTTTAATAGGACCTCTTTATTGTTAGACATGAATTGGCCATAATGAGACTAGCTGCTTTTATGGGCATCACTATGTTAGTTGGAATAACTGGACTCTTTTATACACAACTGATTGGCATCATTACAGTAAGTATATTTTTAATGTAAATTGATGTATTTATGAACATATTATGTAATTATGAACTTAATTTCCAGCAGTTATGAGTTCACAAGTGAAGAGATGTTAATTCATTCTTTATAATTCCATTTTCTTATACATGGATAATCTTAAAGTAGTTATGATCAGGTGTAGAATTATGTACAATTATGTACCTTTTAAAACTAACAAGCATTGTTATATGACTGTAAACGTGTTGTCTGAAGCCTATAATAGTTACATGTACTGTTTAGTAGGTTGGCTGTTACTCAGCATCTAACATGCAGTCCGTTTTTTGTATTGACACAGCACAGCTTTCAGTTTCTTGCTTTCCTCTATTTAGGATAAATTCTTGAAAGTGGAGTTGCTGACAGAAACATTTTATTAGTAATTAATTCCTTTCATTGGACATGTATTTATTGATGTGCAAACAAACTTAACAAGTGACTGTCATTGTTTATATAGAATGTCTAAAAGGTTGACTGACAGCCTCTGATTTTAGAAATGTGTTGCAATAATGTAAAATTATTACATTATTATTACATACATAATATTTTTAGGAATAGGATTTACTTGTTTCTGCCCTGTTTTTCTTACTGGCTGCATAGAACCCAGCCATTTTTTTTTCACAACATCTAATTTGGAAGAACTGTATCAAACATACAGTAGTGTCGTAATAGGTACTAATATTCTCTTAGGTATATCTGTTTCATGAGTATCATAGGTCAGTTTGAGGTTGTAGGCATAGAGGTAATGAGTGGTAAGATTGAAACATATGTTGCAGAACCAGCCTTTCTTCTTATTAGCCAAATTGGGTCACTTTATCACAACAGGAAAGATTTTAAAATGAGAAAAATTATATTAAATACAAATTTAAAATATAATGTACTGTATTGCAGAAAGTGTAAAGTAAGTGGCCTTCATATGTAATGGGGATGTACACTAGTATAGCCTTTTCAGAGGACAAATTGACAGCGTCCATCAAAATTTCAGACACACAGCTTTCCAACCTTTTCATTTTTAGTTCATATTTTTATCCATGTGTATTCAAATATGAATACTAAATGACTGTGTCTAAAGATAAATTATATCTGACGTGTGTATATGAAGAGTTGAGGGAGCAGTGTACAGTGGAACAGTGTAGTTAAGAATGAGTATATCAGTATTACTATAGCTATTCAGGAAAGTTCGGTATTGACCTGGTATGGACCTGTGAGTCAGAGAAACAGGATTGAGAGTTGAGAAATACACTTTTGTCCTTGAGTATTCGTGGGGAGTTGGTTCTAGGACCTTCTACAGATACAAAAATAACTCTGGATGCTTAAATCAAATAGTGTGATAATTGCTTATAACCTGGGCACATGTGCCCATTTTCTTTAAATCATCTCTATATTGCATTACCTAATACACTGAAAGTGCTTTGCAAATAATTGCTATGCCATATTCTTTAGAGAATAATTGGAGAATAATGACAAGAAAAGGCTATCCAAAACAGGTGCAATTTTCCTTTTTCTTAGATGTTTTGAATCCACGAGTGTGGAACCCCAGTTGTGGACAGCTGATTCTGCATGCACTGTATGAATGTGGGTGGCACGGTCTTCACTAGGGAAAAGAATATTTTTAGAAACAGATGGTGTTCGGGCAGTAGGATAGTTAAATGTGAAAGAATGAAGCTGTGCTCTTACTTCATACTACATAAAAATTATATCAACTACAAATGGATAATAGTCCTAAATGTCAGAGCTAATGTAATAAAACTTGTAAGAAAACTTGAGAGTATTTTTATTAACATAATAGCAATGCTGAATAGAAATATTAAGCTTAATTAAAATTGCAAACTGCTCTACTTTAAAACACTTAGTTAAGAAAGTGAAAAAAAAGACCTGACATAATGCCTCAATGGCCAAATCTTCTTGCTTCAAGTGCCAGGATCCCATTTGGGCACTGGTTCCTGTCCTGGCTATTACATGTCAAATAATGATTTCTCCCAAAAGTTTAATCTCTTTTTGCATATATACATTGTATTTTTGTATATATGTCTTTGTGTGTATATATCTATGGTATCTGTGTATATATAGAGAGAACATACTTTATATATTGCACATATCTATATACATGTATGTATATATATTGATGTATATATCTATCTGCATATCTATATGCACATTGCAGATAGATAGATAAGCCTCTCAGTGTCCTGTGTACAAGCCAGCGTGGGTAACTACTTCTGTGAAACATCCAAGAAGAAAGTAAGCAAGCAAGGAAGGGTGAATATAATCTCTGGATTAGTCTAGTCACTGTGTCTGCTCTTGAATGCAGACAGAAGAATATTTCAGGAACTTTGTGGAATATAGAATTAAAAGGTGACTATTTGATGCAAACAAATTTTGGAAGTCATACATGTTAGCAGTCTTCAAAAAAGGACATGGAAAGTGTCTACTATGAAAAAACTGTTAATAAATTTCAGAACTATAAAAACCAAAGTAGAATCTTTTAATTTTATTCCTTCATAAACTTTTTGATGTACCCTCAAACTTACAGACAAAAATTACAGTACAGTAAAATAAAATTTTAAAACTTACTTTCATACTAAACTTCAAGCATCTATTCTGTTTGGAGTACAAAAAATTTCTGCAATATGCTCCTCTTCACATTGACTTAAGGTTTTAAGGCTTAGTTATTTAAAGTTATTAATGCTTCTGACACTTAATTTTTTGATGGCAGATCTAAGTAAAATTATATTTGTTATTTTAAGTTAAAAAATACTTTGTGAAAATATGCTTGCTGTTCATTTTATGGTAAGACTAGGATTATCTACAAGAAATTGTAGATTTGGATGTGTTTTGTCATACTTTGAATCCATAGATCTATCCATTTAGTACAGGAAAAAAATGAATTTGGTGGTGCAAGAAAGGAAGGAAGTAGGAGAAAGAATCAAAAAACCAAATCCTTCCACTGAGATCTTTCCCTAAGTCGTGCACTCAAGTGATATAAGAGGTGTCTAAAAAAATTATTGGTAGGGTTTGCATTTTGTAAACTGTATAATTGTATAACTTGAATATGGAACCCATTAGATACAAGCAAACAAAACCAAAGGCTGTGTCTCTTAGATTTAGCATGAGGTTTCAAGAAAGCAGAATATTATTTTCCTGGAAGTTTTCCCTGTATTCGCTTTTACTAAGAATAACTAAAAATCTCTATCATGTTTAAGAGGGAAAAATCCCTTCTTTCTGTTGATACTAGAAGGTAACAGGATAATCAAAGCAATGATAATCTGATGTCATTTTGGACCTAGCAAGAGTAGATTATCTGTGACCCAGATAAAATCATTAGAAATTACTTAAAATAGTGCATTTCTAATCTCATTTCGAAGTTTAAAAGATCTCAGCATATCCATATGTTTCTGTTTAATAAATTAATCTGAAGCCCAGTTCTTAAAGATTACTTTGATTGTTTTTAGAATTAATTTTACACAGGATTTAAATAGATGTCACTATGTATACTTGCTAAACTTAATATTGAAGTTAAAATTAAACAGTTTGCTTTGAGGCATTATTTTTTATTTCAGACATAACTATTCTAATTATTTCTTGGGTTATTTATTTAGTCTGTTTGAGTGAAAGTAAATAGTGCTGTTATTATTAATTTAATAGATGTCAGAATTATTGAGCAGTAGTTCATTCACTCACAGCAAGAATGATGTCCATTTTGATGGGTTCCAATACTACAGTGGTGAGTATATTAGTCATGATTTCACTCACTGCACTTGGAGAGTGTTAATCAAGAAGTGGTGTAACAGCTGGCACAGGGAATTCTGGAGAGGTCTGACAGTAAGCTATTGTGTAGTGTGATACTGCTCTGACGGTTTGTCTAAATGTTGGATACAAGCATTTTTGTTTTCTGGGTACTGTGGAGTTCATGTACTGTGGAGTTCATGTACAAGCTTCTGATGGTGTCCCTGGAGCTTAGTGGTTTTCTCTGTTCTGAGTAGAGGTTGGAGTGAGGAAGGTGCATTTAGTTGCACTTTTATAAAAAGCTTTAAATTTTAAAAAAAGTCATGATGTTTGCAGTTGGTTTCATAAATACTATTGTTGGATGCTAATTGAAAAGAGAGGAAAATGTATTTCTCCCCATAAAGAGTGGCTCATTCTGTCTGTTAAATTTGCAAAGTAAAGGATTATCTGAGGGGACTTAATTTTAACTTGATTACCTTATGCAATGAAAAGTATCTTATGTTCGAAATATTAAATCTTTTAAAGGAGATTATATGTTAAATAGCATTTCATTAATCAATTAGTGGATTTATTTGCTTTTTAATATGTACCCAGAAATGTGGACCTGAGATTATTAATCCTTATAATTAAATTTTCCAAGTATGCTCTGAGTCACTGTGGTGAATTAGCAGGCTTCATTGCAGTCTCTACACAAATTACATTCAATTTACTCAGCTCAGCAAATCATTGTAGATATGGAAATGATCACTAATTATGCTGAACACAGCTCACTTATATTTCTGTTTAGGGTGTTCTTTGAAGCATTTTTATTTTCTTTTTTGAATTACATTTTTGTTTAATACAAACAAACCAAGTGTCTTTCTAATTGTCATGTGAAGTGTCTTCCCAGTAGCTTACTAACAGTATGGAAAAAAGTCATGAAATGTTACCTTTTCTTGTATGCCTTAAAATACCAAATATTAATATTGGATATAGTATTTCTTTGGATTTAGGATATAATAAGGAACCTGACAGCTACTAGGTTCCCCCTCAACAAGACCTTAATTTAAGTACTGAGTATATTTTGTAGACTATAAAAACTTTTTAGAAAGAAATGATCATCACGATTACTGCTGACATCAAAGCTATTATGTGTGGAATTGGATTTCTTTTTATCATAAACATGTTCTGATATAAAAGTGTTATTTTATACAGCATCATTTCTCTTTGCCTTGTGTAGTAAACTACTTAAAAGGATTTCTGATAAAATGAAAAGTAATTAAAAGCATAAATCTGCTTCTATAATATTTTAGTAAAATACTGCGTTTTATTTTTCTGAAGGCATTGCTAATCACTTTAATGCTGAGTAGATTTCTTTTTTAAAATAAAGAAACTAAACAGTTATGAATTCCCCTTTACTTGTTATTTTCCCCATTGATTTCAGTATCTCATGAATATTTAATTTGACTCACAAAGCATCCTGGGATTGGTGAAGGCAGTGATTTGTGTATTTATAGCCTACTTGTGATCTTTTGCCACAGTGATTCATGTTTGTGGCACATATGTTGATAAATTGGTTATTCCTTAAGATCCCTGCCAAAGAGGCACATTAAATGCCCATCTTCTACTGATAACCAAAAATTATGTCACAAGCATAATTTTGGTACTAAAGATGTAAGAATGGTTGAATTTTAGTATTGATTGTAAGTAAAAATCCTTAGCTCTTTTACATAGTATAAGTTAGTACAAAACTTATATAGCACATTATTGTGTGTATTCAATCTTTCTGGCCTATTTTGTGTATTCCTGTGTAGTTTTTCTTTTCTTGTATAGTTTTAAAAGTATATTCACCAGCTTTTATTGGACTCTAAGCTGCTAAAGACTGTTTTGTAATAGGTTTTTAGCAAATTTTTGGTAGGTGGATAAATAGAAGAATCATTGTTGAACCAGTTGGAGCGAGTTTTCCTAAGATTCCATAGCTAACCAGTTATTTGAGAAGACATTTAGAGATAAGAGAGATTTCCAGTGGCCGCAGATGTCAGATCTGCTGCCACTCATTTAGTTCCATGTTGGATTAAATATTTATATGACCTTCAAATTGCTGGTTAGTCTTTTGTAGGAGATGGATACTGAAAGAACCATTCATCTCAAAGGGGGATAATAGTCTGGCTTCAAAGGACTGCTAGAATTCGTAGCACATTTTCTCTCTGTATTATAAATAAAATGAAATGTGAGGAATCATTCTTGCCATATATTCTGAGAAGTGAAAAATCTTGCTTAAAAGTAGTAGAAAGTAGTAATGGATAGAACAGATATATAATAGTGAAAAACTTCAGTCTTTTAAACTATATTAATATAGTCATTGAGTTAGGGCGCTATATGCAGTAGAGTTAGAGAACAAGTGATAGCTGCGGTTAGATTGAATTGCCTTAGAGCCATCTGCAGATCTGGAAATTCCATTTTGAAACTGTTTCCAGAGTTAATTACACACCCAGAGGCAATGGCTGTGGCTCTTTAAATTTCAGATTCCAAAGAGATAGTCCTCATAACTGGATTGCCACTTACTCCTTTATTGATGATTAGTAATTGCGCCAAAGGACTTTTCAGCACAGTATTTTCCTGCATGATGATTGTGCTGGTATTGCTAGGTGAGAATGAACCCAAAGCAGGATGAATCAGTTGGGTGGGTCTTCCTATCAAGCATGCTGGGCCAGAAGGACCTGTGTCCTCAGTCTTCACAGGAAACTTCTGGTGCTACATGTTTGCTCCTTTACCTCCTGCTTCCGTTTTTCTAACTTTAAACCAATAAATCTGTCTCCTTCCTTCCCTGTAATCACACTCTTCCCATTTCCCAATTCGAGATGTGCTTTTATTAGTTGATGTAGTTTTTACACTGCGCCTGAAAGATCACTTCTTAGGGTAAAGTCACTTGTCATGAAAAGGTGGTGTATTGGTTGATGAAATAGGTAAGCCCTATATTTCTGTATATCTTACTGCTTTAGTCCTTTTTAAAAAAATAATTTTCAGTGTTTGAAATAGTGAAGGATTCTTTCGTATCATTTAACTATGAAGACTAACTTGCATTTTAGATATAATAGTCATTATGCTATAATCAAGGCAAAATAATAATATATAGTAAATACTATAAATCCTGGAAGAATGAATTTTTCAGGATGGTTGAGTTTTATAAGTGACCAATGATTTATAAGTGGTATTTGCACTTTCCAAGGATAGCGGTTATCTTTTTGGTTCTTCCCTGATCAGCGCTGAAGGTGTGAAATCTCGTATACAGTGGAATTGCCCATATCGACTGTTGTAACTAAATATTATGCATGAAGTGATAGTGAATATCACATCTCTTGAAAGAATAGCTTTCAGCTTATGGCAGTTTAATAGGTATAGTTCTAGTTTTGTCTTGAAATAGGTTCCAAGATAGCGTCAAAAACACTTGAAAATGAGAAGTTCCTCCATATGAAATCTAAAGTCTGAAGTTTATTAAAGTTCCTTTAATGCCACAAATTCCTTAAGTTTATAGTCAAGTGACAAGTTTATGAAGTTTATGCACAATAAAAATTTCTCTTATTACAGACTGGTAGTTTGGCCTATCCACTGCCTTCTTTATTCTTGAAATAGTTTCTTAAAAAAAAAAAAACCTAAAATTTTATTCACATATTAGGGAGGCAGAGACAGAAAAGAACAGGTAGAGAGGCAGAGAGTCACACAGAAAGAGAGCTCCGCTCCACTACTTCGTGCCCCAAAGGTGCAGAAGCCAGGACTTCACCTGGCACTTAGGCCAGAATCTGAAAACTTAGAACTTTTAGGTGAGCGGCAGGGATCCATGTACATGAACATCACCGCTGTCTCCAAAGGCCTGCATCATCAGAAACCTGAATCAGAAATAATCCACGCATTTAGAGGTGAGATGTGGTTGCCCCAACACGAGGCTAAATGCCCAACCCTGATTTCCAACTTTGAAGTATTTTCCACCACCGTGGTGTTATACCATTCATCTTTCCTAACACACATTTTTTTGTTTTTATCTAAATATTTTCTTTGTACTTTTTTACACTATCTCAATGGCTTTGGAACAACTTATCATCGTTCAACTGTAAGAAACCATTGTGAGGGTAATAAGGCCGTGAAAGGTTAATTGTTATTAGGTACCATGAATTCCAAAACATGATGGGAAAAATAATATATATGGAATGTAGAACTAATTTTAAATTTCTTTATCGAACCCTGAAAAATCTGCAGATGAAAGTTAATTGGTTTCTAGTCATGTAAAATACAGATTGCTTTCCTCAATGCAGATTCACTTTCTCTAATGTAGTTATTCAGGTATGTATGCATGAGAATTTAGTGTTAGGAGTTTTTCATGTAATGACTCAAAAGACTTTTTTCAAAGTGAAGAAGCTGTTTATTTGCATTATTGGGAAAAATTATAATGGCCAAATAATTCCTGGCATTTGCATTGTAATCCAAGTTTGTGTGCATATAATACTGCATGATAATAACAATTCTCTTTGTTCCATAGGGAAGTGAGGTATGGGGTAAAGGAATAAGGGGAGAGAAATGCATGTAACTTTTTTGTGCATTTGATGAAATACATTCTTTTTGCTGCTTTAAAATATGTGAAATATAAATAAGAATAAGATTACGTGATTCATGTTTTATTTGGATATTATTAAGTTGTCAATCTAATGTCTCATCTTCTGTTGACATGAGTTAAACCAGCACTTCTAGAAGCTGTCTTTGTTGAATTGTTTTCCTCATTGTGGAAAAAGCACAATTAAAAAACTAAATGATTATGAAGAATAGTTTTTCTTTTAAAGAAAGGAGATAATTTTTGCCAAGGAACACCAACTCAGTTAACTTTGGTTTCCAGAGCTGTAGCTGTTGTAATATGGAAAATTCATAGATTATATTGTTGAATTTTACTGTTTACAGAAATCCAACTCACTGTCTCTTGGAATTTTTGCATTCATTAGTGTCTTTCATGTGTCATTTTGATATTTATTTTTAATGCACATTCCCTGATAATTGGTAATAAATGCTAAGCTTCTGAAAAGAATTAAGAAGAAAACAAATGTAATAAATGGTTATAGTTTAATGAGGTAGTACTCTTAAATTTTTGTAAGGTTTCAGATTTGAATATTTTTGGTATAATGTTTCTCTTTTTCCAAGGGAATTCCAGTGTATATGCAGCTTATGTAAAAATTTTAGCACACAAATAGAAACTGTGTACATTTTCAAAATATTCTCTGAATAGGATTATAACATCATAAAACAGAGTAAAGATTTGATAACTTTGTTATATCTGAGTATAATGTTTTTTCAATAGGATACAACATCTATTGAAAAGATGTCAAACTGCTGTGAAGAAATGTAAGTATGAAAGTGGTATGTATGTAGAATCTGTAGTGTTGGCATCTGTTTATCAGAAATATGTGCATTTGGTGGGATGATAGTGAAATGATGGCTTTCTTTCGGTGCCTTCTCTGAGTCCGGAGCTACATAAGCATATTCCAGTCCTGCAGTAGGGGTCTTCCCGCCCTGATAGCTTTCCAACAAAATGAATACTTGATCTTTCTTGTTCCGTGTCGAAAGTAAGTTAAATTATTTGTCCTGAAAATACATCAAAGGAGATCTGCTACTGTGTTGTTGACACACATTCTGTTAATCCTGAGACTCTCGTCTGCTTCAAAAGTTGTCCTGGTTGATTGACGACACAGATACAATATCTGCTACCAGAGTTGCAACTCAGCTGCATGCCATAATGAAAGAAAAGCTGTGTTTGTGATGCTGGGACACAATTCATCAGAGTCCAGTAATGGATCCCCAGCCAACCTGTATTGTTTTAGCTGACTGAAGTGCACCCTGGGAGTGCTGTCTTTCACTAATAATGCTGTCTTCTGTAGATCGAGGCCCCGAAAGCCGTGGCAGCAGACCTTCTCAGAAGTTTTTGGCACTCGTTGGAAGATCCTGTGGTTCATTCCTTTCAGGCAGAGGCAACCACTGCGAGTTCCCTACCACTTTGCCAATCATGTCTAAACAGATGGATGGTGGGCACAGATGGGTCCTCCATGCTGGAAATGCGTTACAGGTTTTATGATAATAGAACTATGACAGTCTTCAAGTCAATTAAAATCCACCCACCAATCTTAGGCATCACAATGTGCCCCAGGCTTTATTTTAATAGTGATCTTGATCCTGTTGTGGGACTAATACAAGATCTATATTTAAAGTTTTAAAGCATGTTAACTTTCAAATTAGCTTTCCACAGGGATTTCTTTAAATGCTTTTGTAAGTAAACTCAAAAGGCAGTGATTTGGATGAAACAATTGTACATAATTTCCTTTAGAACTGACAGTGTTACAGATTTTAAAAGAAATTTCAGATGTTTCCTGGAATTTTCATTTTTAAATAGTGCTTACCAGATCTGAGTTGAATTATTATTTTTGCAAAAGTCTATGTATATACTTACAGAGGATATGAATTTTCCTTTTCAAATAATTCAAAATACTTAATGCTTATACAAATACAATACTTAATACTTCCTCTTGCACATGCTGCAGGGTTTTCAGAACGGCAGCATGGGAGTGAGGAGCAGCCTGCTGCTGTCTTGTCTTTTTTCCTTTAGCAGAACCAAAATAAAAGCATTACTAAAATAAAACACCAACCACCTTCTTTACTATAAAGGAGACAATTTTTTTCTTTTTAATTTACTCTTTTATTTTCCCCTTACTGTAATATCTGTTCCCAAAAGAAGTTTGGGAGTAATGGGAAGGTGTTCCTGTGTACCCTAAGATTTTAATGAGCAAAAAGGGCAGAAATTTTGCAATAATTCCACACTTTTTCTAGTGCAGTCATATTGAATGCATAATTTTTAAATGCTAGTATTACTAGATAATATATAATGTATAGAATGAAGAGAAATATTGTGCTTCTGAAATAATATACTTTTTACTTTTATTTATGTATTGGTAGATCCAAAATTACACATTGAAGGTTTACATACAGAGAAAGCGGCCAATTCCTTGAAATTTTATTTTTAGGAAGCTACTAGTAAGTTGCTAATATTTGTATATGTATAATCACCTAAATTGAAATTTGGGGCAACAAGAATGTGTATGAAGAGACCTCATATTAGAAGGTACAATTATGGAATGACCTGAAGAAATTATCTGTGTTATTTATCATTAGACTTATACAGATGTAAATTGCTAGTAATAGTGGTCTATTTGAAAGCATAGAATATATGTGAAAATTCATTATGTGTACTTTAAAAAAATTCGGCCTCCAATTTTTTTCCATGAGAATACTGCAAAATTTCATATATCTTTGTAAAATATATATGTACTCATAGTCTGCCTCAAAAAGAAGGTGGGAAGTGTCTACTGTTCTTGGACTCTGTTCATATTTAACCCTTTGAGTTTTGAAAGTAACAAATCATTCCTGGGAAACAGTGAAAAAGAAAGTTACCATTTTTACACAGTTTGCTAAATTGTGGTAAATTCATTCAGAAGTTGTAAATATCATAGAAAATATTCTGACATAACTGTGTAAGCTCTTCTCATACATTAACACTATGTTTTTCATGTTCTATTATACTATTTTATTGTTTAAAACCTTAGAAGTGACAGATGAAGTATTTATTGGTGCCAAGAAAATGCATAGTAAATTTAATGTAAGAAAAGTATTTATAAAACTTAAAGGATCATAAAATTATTGTGTTTATGTCTGGAGAAGGGATTGACTTTTGTGCCAGATCATCAAATTTGACCTGGTGATGGAACTGCTATAAGAAAGTAGTACGTAGAGGATATAGGTAAATATTAGGTGAATGCTTTGTGTATACCTTTGTTTCAAATAAAGACCTTGAGAAAACAGCTGAGCCAAGTAAAGACTACCCCCTCCATCAGAGGTCTGGTGAACATGTGTGTATGTAGGAGCAGTGGCTGTGCTAAAAACACTAGTGCGGTTTCTTTCTCACCATGAAGTCTAGGACACACTCTCTTCCCTTCTTATTTTCTTTCCTCATCCCAGTCCCTCTGTACCCATAATTGGGCTATAAACTAAGATACTAGACAAGCGTTTGGTTATTTTTTATGGCAGAAATGATACATAGCAGCATATTTACTTAAAATTTTATCTTAAAGCATATCAGTATATACTTATATTGTGATTCACAGCAGTCTCAAGTTGGACCTGATGTGGTTTTGGTAATCCTCTTGAGAAAACTGGAGGAAACCCATTGGCAGTTTCCTGGAGATGCTGTTTCTGCGCCCTCTTTTGGCTAATTGGTGTAATTATACTGAGCAGAGATTTAGTGTTCCCAAATTTTGAACCTGTCAGAGGTATAAATTTAGGAGGATGTATAGAAAAAAATGTAAAATTTTATGAAAATGAAAATTATGATTTATGCTCTTTAATGCATATGAATGCAATCATTACTTTATTTCACTGATATCATACTTTTTAATGTGAGTCACAAATTTATGTCAGATCAGTATAAACCAACATATGCCATTTTATATATTCTTAAATGTTGCTTAATAATAGGAAAGCAATTCCTTTCAGATTACCACTTTATTGTAAATCACAGAAATTTGTTGTAGTTACACATTGGTATCCAGGTATCTAGTACATTTGTTGTAGTTACACATTGGTATCCAGGTATCTAGTATACATTTTTAAAAGTTTCAATTCCTGAATATTTTTTTATAACTGTTGCCTCAAAAATAACTAATAAGAGATGAATAGTTCTATACTTTGCCTTTTTTAAAAACTTTCAATCAGGTATGACTACAGATTTAGAGATAGCCAATTTCCTATATATTCTGGATAGCCAAGGAAATAATTTAGCATGTTGAGCAAAAAAAAAAAATTTTTTTTGAGCAGTGAGATTACTGTTGTAATCTGTTGGACAGAAGTGTTTATTAAAAATTGGACAAAATAAATCCTTCAAGATATTCCACATCAGCAAGGTAATTTCTTGTGTTTCTGGGTAGAACAGGTTTTTGTTTAGGTGCTTAGATAAATTACACTTCCTGAGAAAGCAAATTTGTGGTCATTTGCTACACAGAAGGGTGTCTTTGGGCTCGGTCCTAGTTGCAAACCAAGACAGAGGGGGGTCAGTGTCCCCTAAGAAGTCTTTAGCTGAAGAGTAACTTAAAAAGATTATTAGCTGATATTCTATTATAATGAAAAGACTGTTTTATTCAAGAGTTGTCTTAAAATATTTATGATCAGTAACCATTTAAGATGATAGATAACATTAGTCTTTTAAATATAGTTAACTTCTGATAACATGAAGTAGAGAACATAATAAACATATATAAAACTCAGTATAATGACTGAATAAAAACTTGTGAACATTACCATGTGTGTATTTTTGCTAAGGCATAGAGGGGATTTTCTTCAACTATCATGGCTGATTGTAACTATTATTTAGTAGATTTTCAAGTCACTTCCACGAACGTAAATAGTTTAAATATTCTGAATACTAATGATGAGGTTTAAGTTGGGACAATACTTCAGACGTAGAATTTACATTATGGTAACAGGAGTTTTTGTAACATCATGGGACAATTTGAGTATTTTGACCTGTCTTGTTATAAAAATCACAGTTTATCTAACTGTGGTTTAGTATAACACTAAGTTTCATGAGTAGAGCTTCTCGTTTGTGATTACTTGTGCTCTATGTATTTATTGATTACCTAGTTGAGGTTTACAGCTCTGATGGCTTTGTTAAGTATGTTTTTGGCATGACTTCTAATATATATATAGATAAAACATTTATTTAATAAAGATTATGCTTATGAACATTAAATATCTAAGTAGTAGGTACAAATAATAGCTTTTCACCCAACTCTACTATTAAAGCTTTAAAAAATGTGTTTGCAAGTAGCTAGTTAGGTGATTTTTATTTGATCTGTTCTATTTACTAGTATATAATTAATTAGTAAATGAGTAAATTATTTAATAGCTGCATTTATTACCTTCTATCTTAGTCTATCCTTATAGTCTGAATTTTTCTGTATATCACAAATTTCCTTATGACCTGTGCCATTCTCAGTTAAAATCTGAGATGTTCCACACTAGAATGTAGGAGAAGTATTAGATCCTATTTGCTTAAGATATTTTGAGCTAGTGTTACTATTGCATACACTAACAAATATTTAGCAGTTCCACTATCCTTGGTATAATGATGATTTCTCAACTTCAGGAAAGTGAATTTTCTGACCTGTTTAGTTATCATTGTGTAACTTTTAAACAACAAAGTTTACTACATATTTGGTTTTCAAACGTTGTAATATTGACTGCTAGTGCTAATTTGAGATAAAAATAACAGTGATACTTAAAATTTTTAAGTAATTGATGTTACTATTTTTCATTACCACTCTTCTTTTTTTTTTTTTAACAGTTTTGATTGATGATGTCCCTTTACCCTTAACCGTAGAGAACAGGTACAAGTGAGCAGTGAGTAACAAACACGTGGGTAGAGTTGGGGGCCTAATGAAAATGGAGAGCAGGCTAACAGGAGCAGGAACCAGCTGCGGCTGAAAGATTGACCCAGTCCTGTGGCTGGAAACATCCCTGTGGCCATCAGCCCAGGCTTGACTTTTGTTGGTACCACTTTACTCCGAGAGGAAGTTGTTAAAGCATGCAAGCATTCAGCTTATTTCAGCTAGGGGATTTATATTGCTGCTTCTCTTCAGTTGTTCAGATGCCATTGAGGAATTATAAACTTGAAATGTCATAATTGTGCGGTGCAGCACTGTTTACATGAAGTGTTACTAGTATAAAAATGTCTTTATTGAAGCTGAGGAGAAATTAATAGGTTGCCCAAAGTTTGGAAAAATTGGTTCTTCTCCCCTGAGTCTCTTATTACAAAGAAAGGACACTAAATATTTTTGGAAATTGTGTTGCCTGAGGCTGGTTTTCATGTTTTAGACTTTGTAGTGCTCGATACCTTGCAGGTAATGTGCAATGTGCCTTGCACGTGCAGCATGTAAGGCAGTGCTTACTATACCTGTTCGGCTTTCTAATCTTTTTGGTACTGATAGCTTTAGATATACACAAGGATGCAGAGGAAACAGCAGCATCAAAACGTGTGCTTCGTTTTGTGGCTTTGTCTGCCTGGTTGATCAATACAGGCACTAATTGTT